ACTATTGTGTTATAAACAAGATTTAACTTGGAAATATTTGAAACATAATCTACCGCCATTAGGATGTAGGGAAGTTAGACAGACTAGTTGAAAGGCTTTTTCGTTGAGAGTAGTTATAAGTATAGAAAAAACCATTGTTTAAACATTTATAAACTTAGTTTTGAATTCTCACCAAAAATAAAATAAAATTAGTTTTGAATATGATCATTTAGGTAATTTCAAAGAAATTTTGAGTATTTTTGGATAATTTTGGTAGTTTTCAGATTTTTAATTATGTATAAATGTAATATTGCTATTCGTACTCATATCAAACCATTTTCCGTACCCGCTAGAATATAACAAACTGAACAAAACAAATATTTGCTATATTGTAGGGTACATATGCTTAAAGCTTAAAGACTAGGTACTTTGAATGTGTATTTTAGATATTTTTTCATCAAGATATTACAGATGATCTCATTAGTCATGTAGCAGTTTAATTTCAGAATAAACATAATGAATAACTCAAAAAATAAATCCGTTAAATGTATGGATGTGTTTAAGATTATAAATATATCTTGTCACCTCTTTTTCTTTTAACTGGAAAACTTCAAATTTTCACCTTTGTTATTCTAAAGTATAATCAATTTCGTTTACGGCGTTTTTAATTCACTGTCACTTGGTTTTCATTATTCAATCTATAAATTCACGTCCTCTCGAGATTTACGGGTTATGAGAGAACGAGAAATAATTTTGCTAACATGGCTCATGTAGAAGTCTGATATACTTGTAACTTACACAAACTGACTAGGCTTTATATATCTGGGCAATTACCGCAAAACCATGGGCATAATTGATTTTTAAAAAATATTGTTACCTGTCTAAATCCATGTGCCATTAATATTTTATTAACTGTGAACGGCCCAATTTGTGTTTCGAGTGTTTCTATTCTTTTGGTATCTAATGATATGACTAAAAAACAATTAGACGAACTCAAAACAATTAACAATTTATAAACATGCAAATAAATATTTTCACTAATCCGCGTTTTCCGTGGAATTAAGGTATTTTTCATGTGGCTTTACATGATTGGAAGTTTCGGGAACAATTTTTCTTAAATTATATATGTATATCTACTTAATTTGGAATATTGATGATCGATTGATAATTTCATGAGTTTCTCAAATCTCCCTCGCCATTTCACGGAAATTCATGAAGATGTTCACTACTTCATAGAGGATGGTCAAAAATCAAATTATTAGCAGTGTACTATTTACGATAACTCGTAGCAGTGGAGTATTATAGTAAGTTTGTAACTATTTTTAGGAATGTTGACTTCGAAATTTTGGAATATTTCTAATTAAATGGTATCTTTTCAGACATGCATGTACTTACATATCCCTTTTTATATGGTCAAACAGTCTCTGAAATATACAGATTTACTATTTCCCTAAGTCGGTTTTCATGCTGACATTTATAATAAATGAACAAACTCTGTAAATGTTTTCAAGTAGCTAAAAATTAGACATGCATGTACTGATGTACATAAAATGGTTTTAGCTTATAATTAGTACAATGCTCTTAGATTCTTCATGGAGTTATGGCAACTTTTCTATGAGTAATAACAAAAAGTCAGATGTAATGTAGTGTATAATACTTTTTGCTCTACAAAATTGATTATAAATGGGAATTAATGATAAGTCTTAAAATGGAATATTAGAACGAAACCAACAAGTTTTGGGGTCTAATAATTAAGAGCGTTTTGGTGCCGAGTGTTCGTAATCTTAGTGACGGTTAGGCACTAGTGATATTAATATGGTGTGTGTTTTTTTGTTTAATTAGTTTAGATTTCGAATCAACACTTGATTACAAGAACTCATAAAACTCTAATCACTAAGAGGTAGCTAAACAAGTCAATCTTGCCGGTTGAACCGGATAAAAAATCAGTGGTGGGCTTTCAATTCATAAGATTACGGCCACTCGTGAAAGAAGATGACTAATATACGATAAATGTTTATTTGGCGAGTTATAACTATTCACGAAATGATGTTTCGTCTAATTTTATGGTGGTTAGGAGAATTCCAAATGTTTTTCAATAAAGAGGTGTTTTTCATAATCATTTTTTCTCCCAAAAGACATAGTTTTATGAAAGGTACACCATTATCTCCTTCGTTTTCAAAATCCAAGTTTCTATAATATGTGTATGTGCACGTGTAACTAACTATAAGATAGATTTTCAATGAGCTTTGAGTTCATGAAGCCACGTCCCACTCACTGGAAAAACGTCAGCGACTATGTATTGCTAATTAATTACTACAATATAGTATCCATGTAAAATAGAACAAATCATAACTACTAAAATTTTAAAGTCTGAATATCTTTTGAATACGCAAAAAGAGTTAAAAGGTACGTATACATAATAAAAGTAGGCTTAAAATGTTATATTAATATGAAAATATAACAAGGTAATGCTAGAGTTTTGAGTAGAATAATTTAGTTCTTATTATTTCTTTCAAAAGAAAACTACGCAATTTCACATATTTTCACTCGATAGTTTGCCCATCAAATCATATATAAAACGGATCACAAAATTAAGTATCCGGTAATCGTATGAACTTTCGTCAGCCATGATGCATTGGCCCTTGATTTCATCCGGTAAATCACAAGTCTGTTATTTTTCACATGAAAAAAAAAAGAAGCATTAAGTTCATTTTTGTGTTGAGAACACGAAGATTGACGTCAGTCTTCACTCAGTGTCCTCACTTAGAACATGAACCTAGACCAATTAATAGATTCTCTGTTTATATACCACAAATGTCTAAGCATTTTTTATGAGTAGTACTATTATTTTATTTTTCATTTTTTAGTATTTATTATTTAATACTCTAATAACATTTAATAACCAAGATGATACAGAAAAAAACGGGAGACCATATTCAATTAAATTAATACACATTACTTGTATAGTTGTATTGCTCGACACAAACTAATTAGGATGTTGACCAATTTGATTAACGGAATTTCACCGCCCAATTCCACTTGCTTTATATGCGATGAACAGTTGACCAGAGGAGACAATGTGTAACAAATAGGCTATTAACAAAACATAGAAGTAATTAATACATTCATAGTTTATATATAGACATATTGAGAGAAGTTATTCTTTTCTTCTTTAACAAACAATCTGAATTCGTTTCATACTATATAGTATAATAAACTACCTAGTTATATGTGCTCAAGCTAGGTAGCTAGCTTTATATTACTCTGACAAATTTGGGGAGAGAAGGATGATTAAAAATTAGATTGACTTTGTAACACTCCGGTTTCAAGAATATGGTAGTGTATGCGGAAAGGTTTAAAAGAATTGATTTGGCCACCTATGTCACCAAAGTGCACTTATCTTTTTGGTCAACTGTATTGAGAGAACTCCACATTTAAGCGTGCTTGAGTTGGAAAAGATTCAGGATAAGTGACCTTCCGGGAAGTGATTGTCGGAACTGTGTGAATGACGACAAAACACAGGGAAAGATCATGTGGTGATTTGTAGGGTCGGTAAACAAGTCTTTAGAGCCTCCCGGACGTAACGGACCGGCCGTCGGAAGATGGTAGGTCCACATACCGAAAGAGGACGTGGGGCCCATTAAAAGAGATGGCGGTAGGGACGTTACATACTCATGAAATCATAAAACAAATGCTAAAACACTAAAGCTACATAGAGTGATAGAACCAGCTGAAATTCATTATGGGATTACAAGATCTCAATTAGAATTCTTCCATTGCAAAATTTGGACTATTTTTCGATTTGTACGAGTCATCCTTGCGCAAGGCCATAATTTTATCGGCCATTGAAAAATCATAATTTGTTATTAATTGTTATTGTTGACGTCTTAACTATTTAAACTATCCGGATTTACACAAATTTTGGGAATTAGTCTAGACTTCGGGTTCCTAATTTCTCGATTTAAGAAAAATGATAAGAGTCAGCCAAAAGCTCTAAGTGCTACTGCTTAGTTTTCTAAAATGGAATTTTAATGTCTCTCCAGTGGATGCTGTTTTGGGTATCCTTTTCCAAAATTATTTATAGCTTTAAGTTTTTATTAGTTAAATTTAAATATCATATTTTATAAAAAATATCTAAAACTACATGGCCTGACCCAACAATTACAAATCTAAACAAACTATATGACATGCTCAATATTAATATATATATCTTTAAAATCTAGAATAGATGATGAGCTCACAGTGAACTTTAATGTATGTTTAATGACAGAGCCGTACGAGAAGAAGAATACAATTTCTTTTTGTAGTTTAATTCGTGTATATATTTCAAAGTAAAAATGTTGAACACAATTATACAAACCAATATATGTGATCTAATGTGCTATATAGGAAGAGTTCTCGATGAAAGTACATCAGAGTCAAGAGAGACCCATATTGGTTTAGTCAACTATCAGATACGAAAAGTCACACAAACATTACATGTAAATTTTGGTAAGATGTGAGAGATATGTTTCTCTCAATATTCTCATCGATCATCTCTTTCTTCAAATTGGTAAGATATGAGAAATATGTCCCATCTTTCTATTATCATACCAAAATCTTAATATATATATTGTCAATATGTAATAATTTGCTTCATACATATTTGAATTTGGATAGTAACATTAAAACATCACTAACACTACAAAGCCTAATCAATATGTGAGCTTCCTCGTAGTTAAAAGTTAAAACATAATTTCTCGGTCACCAGTCAAAACTTTCTAGCTTGAAGATTAATTAAACAAAATTATCTCAACTTAAATTTGTAGTAACAGAGAATAAGTGATTAACTAACATCTAATCAAGCCCACGTGTCATAAACCCCACCAATGAAGAAAAAAGAGAGCAAAGGACATGCACATGCAATTACACGAATACATACACCCCACCATCATCCTCTCTCCTTATATTATTATTGCCCCTTCCTCTCCTTTCTTCTTCCCCTCTTACCTTTTCAGAGAGAGAAAAAATATTTCTAATCTATTATAACTTATAAGTAACATGATCGGACAACTTATGAACCTCAAGGCGACGGAGCTCTGTCTTGGTCTCCCCGGCGGCGCTGAAGCCGTTGAGAGTCCCGCCAAATCGGCGGTGGGAAGCAAGAGAGGCTTCTCCGAGACCGTTGATCTTATGCTCAATCTTCAATCTAACAAAGAAGGCTCCGTCGATCTCAACAACGTCGCTGCAGCTCCTAAGGAGAAGACTACCCTCAAAGATCCTTCTAAGCCTCCTGCTAAGTAAGCTACACATCTACATATATATGTCTAAGTTCTTATAGAATATATATTTTTGGTTAAAAAGTTCTTAGAATATTTCAATCTATATCTATACATGTTTATAAACATTATATATGTCTAAGTTCTTAGAAAACTTCAATATATATAAATTTCATAGTTATATATCCTCCAAGAGTACAAATATTGTTAGGGATTTCCATAAACATATGAACAAACTAAAAATTCTTAAAACTAGTAATGTTAAATATTACATATATACTTCCCATATACATTACCTTTTTTTTTTAATTAAAATTTTTATATGCATAACTTTGAAGTTAAATTTGTTTTTTAACAATATAATACTAAGAAAATAATATAATAATAATTAAAGCGTGGTTGATACTTGAACACCAATACATACATGCGTACAAGCAAACATGAAATAATACATGTTATAATGAAGCCAATATAGTCAGTAATGGTAAAAAATAATTACATTGGTTGATTCACATACATAGAAATGTTGTTGTATGTAGAGCACAAGTGGTGGGATGGCCACCTGTGAGGAACTACAGGAAGAACATGATGACTCAGCAGAAGACCAGCGGCGCGGAGGAGGCTAGCAGTGAGAAGGCGGGTGGAGGAGCCGCCGGAGCCGGCTTGGTGAAGGTCTCCATGGACGGTGCTCCCTATCTGAGGAAAGTTGACCTCAAGATGTACAAAAGTTACCAGGATCTCTCTGATGCCTTAGCCAAAATGTTCAGCTCCTTCACTATGGGTACGTGTTAGAAATTTCATATAAAAAATGTGAAAACACAAAATTAGTATATTAAAATATAGAATTTACTACATTAATTTATCCTTACAAAACTCATGAATCTTACCAAGATAGAACTCTACATTCGCATCCTATGTATACATATTAACAAGATGAGATTTAGCTAAATTATTTGTACATCTTAACTATGTAGTATATATAAAGATAATGACATAAGCACATAAATTTATATGATTTTTCAATGTCTTGAATAATTTCAAGGAAACTATGGAGCACAAGGAATGATAGATTTCATGAACGAGAGCAAGCTCATGAATCTTCTGAATAGTTCTGAGTATGTGCCAAGCTACGAAGACAAAGATGGTGACTGGATGCTCGTTGGCGATGTCCCATGGGAGTGAGTCAAATTTAATCACTAACGTTTCATATTTTTTTAACTTATAACTAGACTCGTTAACCACATTTCCGAAATTGGTAGAGACAAAGCCAAGGATATTCAACATCCATGTGTTATAAATACGTACAACCATGCATTGGTTGGCAAGAGACAAGAGGATCTTTCAAAATTATACAATAGTATCGCTAAGTTTAGAGCTCATTCGTAGCTGGCACATCATCATATTATTGCCTCAAAACTTAGAATAAACTTTAAATGTTAACGACTCCTATACTAATGTTCTAACCGTAAACTTGAATACCTATTTCAGAATGTTTGTCGAGTCTTGCAAACGTCTGCGCATTATGAAGGGATCTGAAGCAATTGGACTTGGTATATCTCTAACTTTTTTTTTTTTTTTTTTTTTTCAATTTTTACCATTTTTCTTTTATTTTACTAAAATTTAATTCTGTTTTCTTGGTTATAGCTCCGAGAGCAATGGAGAAGTACTGCAAGAACAGATCTTGAATTAATAAAAAAAAAGAAATATCAATGATCAACAATATGACGGGTTCATGATTTTATATGTATTTTTTAATGATTTTATGTGGCTATCACCTATATATGTGTGTTGTAATTTTAAATACTTGATGGGTATATAGGGCAATAGTATTATTTTACCAGTAAGATGTGGACAAAATTTGTAATGTGACCAAAAGAGAGGAAACTTCAAAATCTCTGTGTTTGTGTCATATTTATTGCCCAACATGTGTCTGTCGGTATGATGATCAATCACAACTTGATATGTGCATACATATAAATGTGTGTATGTAGGTGTGTGTACATGTACATGTGTTTTGATCCCTACTATGCTTCTTGTCGTTTCTTGTGTGTGTTATAATAGTTTTTTCCCAAAATGAATAATTCGTTGTTATGTTTTCTGTATACTAATAAAATCTTAGCTTTTCAATTCTACTCTGTAAGAAAAAAAAACTACTTGTTTTTGTTTGCCTAACTTTTTGTAATGCTCTTATATAAATGATGAAAATTAAGCACTTCAAAACTTGATTTTCAAAACGGATAAATTAAGTTCGGGCCTTTTAAATTCAAGATATATGGATGCTAAAATGGATCTTTCAAGCCATACTCGTAGTAGTAATTACAAATTTCTATTAACAAGTCACGTACTGGTAGTAGTAATCAAATTCTTGTTAACACGAGAGTGTTTGTTGGTTTCAAGAATCTGATTATGTATTGACTTTTATACGAAGTTTTTAATTAATGAACAACTGAACATATCGTACTACGCACAAAAAAAAGAAGAAGTAGCTAGAAACTAAAGTTGGTTTGTTGTCATTTCGTCATAAATTGTATCCTAATTTTTTGGGACATGTGGTCCGTAATCTGTCATATTTTAAACTAACTGATGATTATATGTGTGGCGGCTTTACAAGATTAATCAAGTCATCTCTCCAAAAATATGTTGTTTTCCTAATTTTAACCCAATATAATGTGTTTTCATTTTGCAAAAAAAAAGAAGAAGAAGAAGTGATTAGGATACACTTACAAAAGAGGATATAAACTTAGTCTAACAGTTTTATAATCGGATGTTTGTTACACACTTACAATTTGTTACGACTTACAAGTTATTGATCTTATTGTTATTGGTTGATAGATCATTAGATATATTATTCATATATTATAGATTAATAATCTCATCAAAATTATGTAAGTCGTTGATGCCTCCAAATAGTATAATTTGACCTCTTTTGCGCTCTAATTTTGTGGGAGGAATTTATTAAATTCAGGACCCATGAGAGGGGTAGGGAACAAGAGCATGTGCATGTTCATGGGTCTTTTAATTCATATGGCCATTATGTTATTGTAATTTGTACCCTATTTTCCCGATCACGAGAAGAAAATTTCATCCTATTTTATAATTTGTCTCAATGTTTGTGTCATATTCTAATTTAATGTATACTCGCATAAATATAGAATTCCCGATCGTTTTGTAGAAAGATATAACCAAACCAAGGTCAAACGTGCAATATGATAATGACTTTGAACCAAACAAAAAAAAAAACTAAAGCAATGCGCCAATCTCATGGCCCTAATTAAGTATTATACACCAACAATATTTGACAATTTAATTCTTCTTATGTATAGTAACTATACTATATTCCTAACCAATATCATAACTTTTGATGCCAATTCTAAGTTTAGAGCCATATATTAATTCAGTGTAGGCCGGGTCCATTGAATTTTCAGACATATTACAAATGAAGTCGAGTAATGTAGAGTTTAAGGGTAAGGTTCATTGTTAGTGAGCCAAGCTCGATCATACAAATCTATTTTTAATACTATCTAGCTACATTAATAGTAAAGCAAATAATGAGTGTCATGGGATCACTAAATATAAAATTCATGAGTTTGATGATTGCAATACCCGAACTTTTTTCTTGGATCCGATGCAACGATAGAACTTAATTTCTTTTAAAATTAGCCAAGTGATGGAACAGAAAAGTATGCTTAAGCTACTAGGGCCATGCACGCATGCGTTTGCAAATTCTAGGTCAAATCTAATTAAGAACTATACTATATTATTGATTTAATTTCAAAAATTAACAATGCTAATTGCAAATATATAGAAATCATAAAAGATCCAAACTACAGAAACAATAAATATTCAAATGATCTGGACATAATACGTGTTTAGTTTTGAGAAAAACATTTAGGAAACTACAATAGCATGCCCATTTGTTTACTTAATTAAAATAACAAATTCGAAATATTCTTTTAAGGAAAAGTTATTTAAATTATGATTTTGAACTACTGAATATGGGAGTTGGGACTCTTTACTTGCATGCATTTCTCCACGTCTAATTTTATTTTAGTTTTATGTTTTTGTAAAGTTTTTGAGTTCAATATAAGCAGCAACAATCATCATCATGTACGTCAGTACGTGTAGTAAATCTTCATCCCAAAAATTTATTTCTTGACTTGTAATCTATAAATTTCAGATGTTTTTATTTCGTATGACCATTGAATTCTTGCAATGTCTAAGAGACACTTCACAAATTCCAAAACAAATAAAATCCAAACTTGTACAAACCCAAGGCCTCATGAGCCCATAATATGGAAGGCCTAGTTTACATCTTTTAGAGGTTCGTTTATATTCTACTTTCTAGGAAGGCCCTTTTATAGTTTTATCTATTGTATGCCATTTGATTTCTAGTATTTTACACTTATGAAAATAAAACAAATGGAATATGGTAAAAAAAAAAAAAAAAGAAGTAAGAACAAAAGTTACTTTGGAGGGAGGATAACTTTGGGTCAGTACGACAAGTCTTTGTGTAATTTTTTTCTTTCGATTTGATAAATAACGGAAGACTTCGTCTCCCGGTCACTTATAAAAAAAAAGTGGCTGAAAATGTTTTTTTTTTTTTTTGAAAATCTCACAAGAAGGATTCACAAATATTTTCACGTAGGTTTTCTTTTTATACCAATGTTTTGTCTATAATAATTGATACATTTTTTTTTTTTATAACCCAGTTGTTGGTGTCGGATCCCGCACCAGTAGACCGGGACCAACCAAAGATTGCCACGTAATTAGAGGGAAGGCCCACAGAGGATAAGGCCCATAAAGCCCATCGTTTACAGAGTACAATCGAAGTGGGCATCACCATAAAGAGAGCCCGAGGTGGTCATATTTCGGGATACAACTCGGGATCGAGGTCGAAGTCAAAACGGCTCAAAGTAACTTGGGCCAAAAGGCGAAGCCCATGAAGATCGGAATCAATTCAAATTCAAACGTTGAGCATTAAACTTGAAGACTAAAACGGACGTATTTAAGAGAGAATAATTGTGTTTAATTGAGAATTAAATGTCGTTTGTCAATATAAATAAGAGGGCTAATAGCCATGTAAGATATACGCAATTTTTCTAGCAAATACACTATAGTCATTCCTATTGCAATTCATAGCTTTTTTATCATATTTTTGTCCTCAAGAATAATCATTCCCACTAATTAAACAAATATTCAAGTGTGCGAATCCGACATCCACATTTTGGCGCCGCCTGTGGGGATCTAGAAGATTCTTGAGTTGTCAGATTTCTCTCATTTCCGAGATAAGCAGCAATGTCTGGAGCAAGCATCCCTGATTCGACAGTAGCCGAGGCTCTCAAGACCATGCAGCAAGCCATAACAGAAATGTCGCAGAAGTTCTCGGATGTGGAAAAAGCTGTGGACACGCTTAAAACAACCCAGGTATCTCTTGGTCAAAACATCAATACTATTCAATCTCGTGTTCGTTCTCTAGGTGCAGGAAGTACCGTGGGAGTCCGCAGAAGCATGTTCAGTACGCCAAACTCCCGTGTGCGAAGTGAGACCAACGAACAAACAACTTCTAACCCAACAATCCAACCGGATGTGGAAGAAGAGACGCAGCTCGGAGATGAAGATCAGCTTGTAGATCAGTATGATCAAGAGAGCTTCGATCAGCTCGAAACCATGAGGAAGGTTAGTCAGGAACTAAAAGAAATGAAGTCAAAGTTCCACCAGGCCACCAGTTCGGAGCCGGACATTAACCGAGTCATCGAGGAAGCTAGGCGAACTCCTTTCATTCCGCGAATTGCAAATTTGAGAATCAAGGATTCTCGAAAACTCAAACTGGATCCGTACAGTGGATTAGAAGACCCAAAAAGCTATCTCGCAGCTTTTCTGATTGCCGCTGGAAGAGTCGAATTGGATGAAGCTGATGAGGATGCAGGATACTGCAAACTCTTTTCGGAAAATCTTTGCGGTCAAGCACTAATGTGGTTCACTCAGCTGGAACCAGGCTCAATCAATAACTTCGACGAATTGTCGGCTGTTTTCCTGAAACAATATTCTATCCTCATGGATAAAAGCGTTTCGGATGCTGACCTCTGGAATCTAACACAAGGGCCAAATGAGTCACTTAGAACTTTCATCACCAAATTCAAGGGGGTGCTGTCAAAACTCCCAAGAATCTCGCAGCAGTCAGCTTTATCTGCCCTACGAAAAGGCTTATGGCATGACTCAAGGTTCAAAGAAGATCTGATACTTCACAAACCGGACACAATTCAAGACGCACTTTTCCGTGCAAATAACTGGATGGAAGTAGAAGACGAAAAAGAGAGTTTTGCGAAAAGGAACAAACAAGCAAAACCAGCGGTCACTTTCCCTACCAAAAAGTTTGAGCCCAGAGAGAACCAAGGACCTAAAAAATTCGGATCGCAACCCCTCAACAATACCGTCGGGAAACAATTTCAAGGAAAAGGAAGGTCGAACACTTGGGTCCGTGACGAAAGTTTGCATTGTGACATCCATAAGGTAACCGGACACTTAACCAAAGATTGTAGTGTCCTCAAAAAGCACCTCGCAGAGCTATGGGCCAGTGGAGATCTTTCTAATTTCAAGATAGAAGATTTCGTGAAAGAATATCACGAGGCAAAAGATATCCCTAAAGATCAGAATTTAAAAAGACCTAGGCAATCCAACGAAGAAGAACCTAGAAGTTCTAAAGGAAAAATTAATGTGATCATTGGAGGTTCCAAGCTTTGTCGGGATACGATCAATGCAATAAAGAAGCATAGGCGAAATGTTTTATTTAAAGCAAATTTAGGTGAAGAAATGGACTTTCAAGGTACGTCAATATCATTTGACGAAGAAGAAACATGTCACCTCGAAAGGCCTCATGATGACGCCCTAGTCATTACCTTAGACGTTGCCAACTTCGAAGTTTCGAGAATTCTCGTTGATACGGGTAGTTCGGTCGACTTAATCTTTTTAGGTACCCTGGAAAGAATGGGAATCAGTCGGGCAGATATAGTAGGACCGCCGTCTCCTTTGGTGGCATTCACAAGCGAATCGGCCATGTCTCTCGGGACGATCAAGCTACCAGTTCTTGCTAAAAACGTGTCAAAGATAGTAGATTTTGTTGTTTTCGATAAACCGGCAGCTTACAACATCATCCTTGGGACTCCATGGATTTATCAAATGAAGGCAGTTCCCTCGACGTATCATCAATGCATCAAATTTCCAACTCCTAGTGGAGTGGGAACGATTCGAGGAAGTCAAGAAGCTTCACGAACGTGCTATCTGACCAGTCATCGACTAAAGATCCAATAGCAATTAACGAAACCTGCGAAGAAGAAAATTCCAAGATTTCCTAGTGGGCAAAAAGAAGACGATGTGGTAATCGAAGTAGTATTGGAAGAAGATAAACCAGATCGGAAAGTCCGAATTGGAGTCACTTTGACTGGCGAAATAAAAGAAGCTTTGATTGAACTTCTAAGGAAAAACAAGACGTCATTTGCATGGTCAGCGGCCGATATGCCTGGCATAGATCCAAGCATAATCTGCCACAAATTGAACGTAGATCCAAGTTTTAAGCCCGTAAAACAAAAGAGAAGGAAACTCGGAGTAGAGCGAGCAAAGGCAGTAAATGATGAAGTGGACAAACTACTAAAGATAGGATCTATAAGGGAAGTACAATACCCGGAGTGGGTGGCAAACACTGTCGTGGTCAAAAAGAAAAATGGAAAGGACAGAGTGTGTATCGATTTCACCGATCTCAATAAGGCATGTCCGAAAGATAGTTTTCCGCTCCCGCATATAGACCGGCTCGTAGAATCTACCGCTGGGAATGAGTTATTAACTTTCATGGATGCTTTCTCGGGTTATAATCAAATAATGATGGATCCAGAAGACCAAGAAAAGACGTCATTCATCACAGACAGAGGTACCTACTGTTATAAAGTAATGCCTTTTGGTTTAAAAAACGCAGGAGCCACTTATCAACGATTGGTCAACAAAATGTTCCATGAGCATCTCGGGAAGACAATGGAAGTCTACATAGACGATATGTTGGTTAAGTCTTTGAAGAAAGAGGATCACATTAAGCATTTGGAAGAGTGTTTCGAAATTCTCAACCGATATCAAATGAAGCTGAACCCGGCGAAGTGCACTTTCGGAGTTCCATCCGGAGAGTTCCTTGGTTATATCGTGACAAAAAGAGGAATCGAAGCTAATCCAAACCAAATTAATGCCTTTCTAAACATGCCATCCCCGAAGAACTTCAAGGAAGTACAGCGTCTGACTGGTCGAATTGCAGCCCTAAACAGATTTATTTCAAGATCAACGGACAAGTCTCTGCCTTTTTATCAAATTCTGAAGGGAAATAAAGGGTTCCTTTGGGATGAGAAGTGTGAAGAGGCATTCGGACAACTTAAAGCATACCTCACTACTCCACCAGTGTTGTCCAAACCCGAAGTGGACGAGAAGCTCTATTTGTATGTTTCAGTGTCAAAACATGCAGTTAGTGGAGTCTTGGTCCGGGAGGACCGCGGGGAGCAAAAACCGATTTACTACATAAGTAAGTCAATGACAGATCCAGAGACAAGGTACACAATGATGGAAAAACTCGCACTTGCAGTAGTAACTTCAGCCCGGAAGCTGCGCCCATACTTCCAGTCTCATCCAATCGAAGTGTTAACCAACCAGCCACTCCGAACAATACTTCATAGTCCAAATCAATCCGGACGATTGGCGAAGTGGGCAGTAGAACTAAGTGAATATGATATAGAATATAAAAGCCGGGTCAGCATGAAGGCTCAGGTTTTGGCAGATTTCCTAACCGAACTACCAGTGCTGGGCACACCGGAGCAACCAGAGAATCAGACTTGGAAACTATATGTAGACGGATCTTCATCAAAACAAGGATCTGGAGTAGGAATCAAGTTGGAATCTCCAACGTCGGAAATTCTTGAACAATCATTCCGGCTATTGTTTAATGCTTCTAACAATGAAGCAGAATATGAAGCACTAATTGCCGGACTTCGACTAGCACAAGGGGTTGGAGCTGAAGAAGTGGTTGCTTATTGTGATTCACAGCTGGTAGTTAATCAGTTCAATGGCGATTATGAAGCGAAAGATCTAAGAATGGAAGCATACCTTGAAGTAGTGAAGGGACTTTCCAAGGACTTCAAGAAATTCGAACTAATTCGCATACCTCGAGGAGAAAACACAACTGCGGATGCACTTGCCGCATTAGCGTCAACATCAGATCCTGCATTAAAAAGACGTATCTCCAAGAATAATATGAGAATTAAAGTGTTTCCATAAATAAAAGGGGCCGAGGCCCATTACGAGTTCAAAACAAAGAGTGAAGAGAAGGAAAAATAAGCAGAGTTAAAGGACATTTATGGAAGGGGCTCAGGAACAGGCTCCCTCATCGCCGATGTGGAATTCGAAGTGGAAGCACCGTTCCCACCCTCAACTTCGGGTTCATTCGGGACACGTTTCCAAGGATTGTCATCATTTTCCTCGTCTTCCTCTTCACTATCAACAAGAGCAGCTTCAGTCGGGGCATTCACCGGTCCCTGAACTTGACCCTTAGCACGGAGGTACATCCGGAGCATTCGCGGGATCTCCGCGATACAATCGAAGTTCCTCCACTCCCATTGAAAGGGGTCACTTTCCAAGGCTCTCACTTTCCTCTCCACTCGAGCAATACGAGCCTCGAGTGTTTGCCTCTTTAGTCCCAGCCGCTGCCTCTCGTCGCACAAGCGGCGATGTTTGTCGACAACCTGTCACCAAAAAGAATAAATTAAAGTGAAAAGCATAAGATTTTGGTCAAGAGAGTCGAATTTTAACCTTGTCCATGAAATCGTAAGCCTCTTTCTTTTCCCTCGAAGGGAAGTGGAACACAGCATGAGGAAAGAGAACGCCGGCCGGTTCGAAGCCATCGCCGGACAGGAACAAAGGACTGCCAGGATCGGTGGGGACCACAGTTGCGTTTTCCATTGTTATAAAAATTATCAAGAGAATTTTGGAGTTCCTTGGAAAAATTTAGAGGTAAACTTGCCTCTACTTATAATAGGTCTAGGGTTTATCTCGAAACCGTAATTTAATGATGATAGTGTGCCCGAGTGGTTTAAACTGTTTTTGGAAATAGAGAAGCAGTTATTGCCTTAAAGGCGTGCGACTTTCCCTATTTCCAAGGAGGGGAAAGATCAACCGTCGCATTTAAGGCAAGAAGCCCATTAAGCACAAAAGTTTTCGAGGCCCAAGCCCAACAAATTCACCGAGTTGACTAAACCCGAAATGGGGAACTCGTGTTAAGCCGAGCTCAGTTCTCGCATTCTAAGAGAAAGGCCTGATCAGCCTAAAAATCTCGAAAAAACATAGCCACAAGGCCAAGAAATGTTAAAAAGCGGACTTTGCAAACCCGCATATAATTTTTAACCAAAACCCCCCTGGGATCTAAACCTAAAACAAAAAAGGTTTAAAAGCCTCCTCAGGCAAATATCTTGTTTAAAAAGAAACTAGCAATAAAGCCTCCTTAGGCAAAAGCAAAAGTATAAAGATTTAAGTCTCGAAGAGAAAGTATAGTAATGGGACAAGCCCCAATTCGGAGTGGACGCAGCCACTACGGATCAACAGTCACTTCGGCCTCCATTTCGGTTGGCGGGTTTTCACCCACCTCCTTGGCCGGTACTTGATCAGAAGAAATTCCTTGCTCATTCCCTTCGGCACAAACATCTCCTGAGGTGACCTTCGGTGCAGCAGGGACTTCGGGTGAGACAATGCCCTCCGTCTCACTTGAACCTATGGAAGACAGTTCGGGTCAAACAAAAAGGGGAAGAAGAAGGTAGTAAGCATCAAGAACTAGTGTTTACCTGCCCAGTCTAGACCTGATTCACTTAGGGGAGGAGATTCAGTAAAAAACTCCGCAAAATCCTGGGGATTGAAGGACGAAGCGGGAAGAGCTGCCAGACGATTCTTCTTTTCAGATAAACTAGACGCCAGCTCGGATCTCTCTTTCACTTCGGAGAAATCATCGTCGTGAATTTGATCCAGCAAGATTAGGTTGCTCTCGTGCTCTTTGATGTCTGACTCCAGATCTGATTTAATCTTCTCAGTTTGAATAAACCGGATGGCCCCTTGAATCAACTCCATCCCTCGTCCCTTTACCTCTTTTCTGGCTTTCGACGCCGACCTTGCCAACTCGGAATCACGCAACTTGGTAATCGCGTTGTACTTCGCGCGAAGTTCAATGAGTTGATTATTTAGGGCATCGGCGGATGATTCGGATTCATGAAGTCTACCCTGAACACCAGAAAGCTCGTTCTGTAGTTGGTAATTCTGGTCGTACTGATCCCTCAGCTCCCCCTTTACCTTCTCAAGCTCAGATTTGAGGCCGTCTACTTGATCTTCTAGTTGTTGCTTAGAGCCCGAAGATGATTGAAGGTCGGACTCAAGAGTAGTAAACTTGCCTCTCCATAATTCAATCTCCTGTTGTTGACTGAGTAACAACCCTTCATAGTGTTCGATCATGTCGTTGAGTTCGCTGTTCGCCTGGCATTTTGTATAAACTCGAAATGATGAACCAGGTGGAAAGTTAGCATAAAAGGGAGAATGAAGTAAGACTAACCCGAGATGAGTGATGCGCATGAAGCAAATAGCGTTCGCGAATTGCAGGACGCCACTTGTCGAACTCCGGCAGAATTAGACCCGACCGAGTCTTAAAGCACCGAAAGACGCTACCTTCTTTCTCCATAGCTGTGAAGGAAGAAGAAGGAATTGTAATATTCTGAATCAAGATGAAGTGAAAACCCTTAAGGTTGCCTAAACCATTACCTGTAAGCGATTTGATCTGTGGGACAAGAGCAGGTCTTGACTTCGGGGAAGCATCTTGAGATTCAGAACTTTCTTTCTGAGGAGATACGTTCCGAGCAGTCTTCTCACCACTATGTTGGGAAGACATGTCAACTGGAGGAGGAGGACCCATCGGTTCAGCAGGAGGGGACGAACGAGGAGAACGCTCAGTTCGGGCCCTCGACTTCTCTCTTTGTGGAGAAGAGTCACTGCGAGATGATTTGTCTCTCTTCCTGCGAATCAAATTCTTAAGCGGTTCGTTGCTAAAGTCATCTCGGGGAGGTCGAGAAGAATCATGACGAGGAGACCGGGCTCTTCGAGGAGAACGGTCACCATGGCGCTCACGACGAGGCGTTAGCCTGTAGGCACCCGTAGATCTGGCCCCTTCAGCGGTACCGTCGTCGACTAACAATGACCGACTGTAATCTTTTTTGTCAATGGCAGTCGCAAGCAACGCCTTGTTCTCATCACAAGCCTTGGTGATCGGAGTAGAAAGCTTCTTGCGCTGGGCAGCAAGGGCCCGAGCCGACATACCCTGAGACGGGGGAGGGGGCGGAAGGCGTTGAAGTTGACCAGGAGGGCTCATCCTGAGTTTTCGATTAGCTTCTATGAATCGGTCAAGGGTGAAAGAATTCCAAAGGGTTTCCCCTTCGAGGAGGATTTTGAAGAATCTGACGAAGTCCTCAGTTGGGAGAGTTGGAGCGATGAAGGCTGCACAATGAAACAACGAATTTAATTAGTAAAATAACAAGGTGATTAAAAGAACTATCTGCAACCTAATTTCTACCGGGCTTCGCAGACCACTTCGATGGAAGTACATCGGAGAGATTTCCGATCGAAGCAGGAGTTTTCTTAATCAGGAACCAAGGATGGTGCCAGTTTTCATCCTTGTTCGGGAGATGCGAAATGATGTTCCTGTTGGCGTTCGGGTACGCCGAAAAATACCCCGCTTTCTTTGATGAACTCCTCACGCTTAGAAGTTCGTTCAGCTCGGGGACTCCAATAATATATCCAGCCTCCGCCGCAACGGTTATGATCCCGAGAATGGTTCGAAGGAGATTGGGGGTCAGTTGAGGAAGAGAAATTTCTAGAGCCGCTAAATACCGGACTAAGGCTTCGGGAAGAGGGAAGGTCAGTCCACATCCCTTGAAGTAGATTTCATAAACGCAAAAGTAACCATCACGGTGATCCTCCGGGGACTCCGTAGGGTCGGCCATCTTCGATTCCGCCATCACGTCAGGTGAAAGTCGGCAGAGTTCTTTCAATCGTTGAAGGGATTGAATGGTACAAGTAGATCTGTAGTGAGGTCCGGCGATATCGTTAGGACGAGTGCAATCGTCAAGGCTAGAACGTTTCCCGTCATAAGACGGAGACTCAGGTCTATCGGAGTCGGTAGACATTGAAGGAAATGGGAAAACTCGAGTTCCAGAAGATAAAAGTTTGGCGAAAGAGACAGAGAAAGGAAAAAAGCAAAGGAAATTTTTTACCAAAAGATAAAGATGAAAAGAAAGGTTACCTCACGCAAACTAAGTGGTAATGATGGAACCGCCTCGGTAGTCGTGGGGGAAGTGGAAAGGTTTTTTCCCCGTTTTAATAGTAAATAATTAAGAAGCGGTCGTGATGGTGACAGATGTCACGCGATCAAATATGGTAAACGACGAAATTAAAGGATTGACAGGATCTTGGCGGGAAAATCAGAAGATCTCTCAAGCGCAATCTTTGGTCATTAAAACGTTAAAGTCCTCCGAACTGGAATAAGCACTTCGAAAGACTTGGGGGGCTAATTGTTGGTGTTGGATCCCGCACCAGTAGACCGGGACCAACCAAAGATTGCCACGTAATTAGAGGGAAGGCCCACAGAGGATAAGGCCCATAAAGCCCATCGTTTACAGAGTACAATCGAAGTGGGCATCACCATAAAGAGAGCCCGAGGTGGTCATATTTCGGGATACAACTCGGGATCGAGGTCGAAGTCAAAACGGCTCAAAGTAACTTGGGCCAAAAGGCGAAGCCCATGAAGATCGGAATCAATTCAAATTCAAACGTTGAGCATTAAACTTGAAGACTAAAACGGACGTATTTAAGAGAGAATAATTGTGTTTAATTGAGAATTAAATGTCGTTTGTCAATATAAATAAGAGGGCTAATAGCCATGTAAGATATACGCAATTTTTCTAGCAAATACACTATAGTCATTCCTATTGCAATTCATAGCTTTTTTATCATATTTTTGTCCTCAAGAATAATCATTCCCACTAATTAAACAAATATTCAAGTGTGCGAATCCGACATCCACACCAGTATCCAGACCACACAGTGATCTGACTAGCCCACTGGGCCTAAGCCCGCGTCACAGGGATTTTTAAGCCTCCACTTAAGGGCCCCCTGATAAACTGGTGGTCTGGGGCGCCTGAGCAAGTCCGCAGGTAAATTCCCAGGTGGCCACAGGAGTGAGAGAGCGAAACTGCGTCTGGGGAGGATCGATCCCTGGCCTAGACCAACAGGGCGATCCTTCCAACCAAACGAGAACCACTCGCCCACCACCATGTGGTTATAATTGATACATTTGATCTGAATTTAGACAGGGCTAATGGAAATTCTATAAATACCTCATCAATAACTTCATAAAAGAAATTCAGAATTATTTTCCAAGAGACATTGTTCTTGCATACACAATTCAAAACACTAAAACTAGCTTAAACATTTATTCTACTTAAAAAAAAAAAACTTTCTAAAACTTTTCTTGTAACGACATGTAGGAAAATTTTGTAAATACTCTAACTCGTCAAATAATATATGAGATAACTTTTACACATGAAGCATCATTTTAGAAAAATATATAATTAAACAAAATATCTTGCATTATATATGAATTTGGTATGTACATGAAATTATTTAGATATTTTTAGAATTTTGACACATATATTACATGAGGATAGTTTTCCTGATATTGAACAAATATACATAGAAAATTATCGCGTATTTAGAGATTTTAAGTCAGAAATACAAATTTAATTCAATTTTACTTAAAGTGTTAAAATTCTAAATTTTCATATTGTGAATGCTTAAGTGCTGACGTAAAAAAAAAGTGTAATTGCCTAAAAATTTAGTAATGCCAAACTATTAGGATAAAAATTTAATAAAAATTAATTAAAGAGCTTGAAAAATAAATATACAAATTTTATACAATCTCATGTTCTTGTGAACAAATTTATAACTCTATATTTGATAATATTGCAATAAGTTTTTGAGGATATATTAAACCTATGAATCACTATAATTATCATGCACAAAGAAAAAAAGAAAAAATATATATATATATATATGGGAAAAATGTCGAAAAATGCGCCAACTTTCAAATTTGGGACGATTAAAGCATGAACTCTCGAAATGTCTCTTTAATCACAAAGTTTATGTTGACATGTCTGAAAATAGCTAAGTTTTCGTTGACCTGGCCAAATTAGACATCGCGTTAAGTCTCCGTTAGAACGACGCTGACGCTGTTAACAATCCGTTAGATGTTTCCGTTGGATCAAAACGACGTCGTTTGGAAGTTTTCAAACGACGTCGTTTCACCAGAAAATACGAAGAAAAAATGGCATCTTCAAAGATTCGAACCGCTGACCTGTTACACTAATAAGAGACACTCAACCATTGAGCTACGAGAACATTTTATTGTTATAACAAACAGAACATGTATATATACTAAAAACTGGCAACATAAATTAGGTAAACATATATGCAACAAATTTAAAATAAAAAAAAATTAAAAACAAATTAATAACCAAACATATACAAATATTAAATATACTAACCTTAAATATTTATTTCAAAATTTAAAATATTTAATTATATATATAAACATTTTATTCTATTTTGGAAAATTATTCTTTCCTAAATTATAAAAACCTAAACTTATGAAATAAAGAAAATTAAATATATGACCTAATTTATACAATCCTTCTCATATAATTAATTTTATATCATAAATTTAATTTTTTTTATATGAGAAGGAATTTCGGAAGGAATAATTTTCCAAATATGGAAAAAATCTTTATGTATAAAAAAATATTTGAAATTTTGATACATATATTTATGATAAGTATATTTAATATTTGTATTTTTGGTTATTATTATTTTTTAGTTTTGTTATTTTTAATTAATTACATATATTTTTAATTAATTGTATAATGTTATTTTTAATATATATATATATATATATATATATATATATGTTTTGTTTGGTATAACATTAAAATGTTCATGTGGCTCAATGGTTGAGTGTCTCTTATTAGTGTAGCAGATTAGCGGTTCGAGTCTTTGAAGATGCCATTTTTCCTTCTTATTTTCTAGTCGTTTGAAAACTTCCAAACGACGTCGTTTTGATCCAACGGAAACATCTAACGGATTGTTAACAGCGTCAGCGTCATTCTAACGGAGACTTAACGTGATGCTTAATTTGACCAGGTCAACGAAAACTTAGCTATTTTCAGACAGGTCAACATAAACTTTGTGATTAAAGAGACATTTCGAGAGTTCATGCTTTAATCGTCCCAAATTTGAAAGTTGGCGCATTTTTGGACATTTTTCCCATATATATATATATAGTATATATATATATATAACTGTTTGGCCCCCAAATTTTAACAATTTCATGTTAAGCTTTCTATTTATACAAAGTCTCAAACCAACCCTCTCAAAATACTAAATTTTTTATAAGATTTTCTAAACTGTTATTGTAACGATATATAAGTTTTGAACGTTCTGTAACTTGTCAAATAATAATTATGGGATACTTTTTACACAATCATCATTTAAAAAAAATATCTAACTCAACTGTGTATCTGGCATAATACCAAATTTGGAATTTTTTAGAAAGATTAAAAGTTTTTGACACGTAAACTACATGCATATATTTTTTCTGATATTGAACAAAACCTACATAGAAATTTACAAAATAAATAGAGATTTTAAGTCAGAGATACACATTTAATTCAATTTTACTTAAATAGTTAAAAATCTAAATTTTCATTTGTTAAATACGTAATTGCTGACGTAAATAAAGGGTGTAAATTGTTTAAAAAGATTAAAAGTTTTTAACACGTAACTACATGTAGATATTTTTCCTGATATTGAACAAAACATACATAGAAATTTACAAAATATTTAGAGATTTTAAGTCAAAGATACGCATTTAATTCAATTTTACTTAAATAGCTAAAAATCTAAATCTTCATTTGTTAAATACGTAATTGCTGACGTAAAAAAATGGTGTACAAATTAGTAACGCCAAAATATAAGGATTATAAGTTAACAAAAAGAAAAATAGATAGCTTGAAAAATAAATATAAAATATATATATTTTTATGAACAAATATATAACTCTATATTTGAAAAACTTTGCAATAAATTGTTAAATATATATTAAACCTAATGCATCACTCAAATAATCATTGGCAAAAGAATTATAATATATTTTTTGGTGAGCCACTGAAATCTTAAACTTTTCACTTTGAGCCTCTAATTATTCAAAGTTTCAAAACCAACCCCTTTGAAAAATACTTAAAAGCAAATTTTCCAAAATCTAAACCTCCTCTTACACAGATTTTTTCATCTGAGAGAGACAGAGAGAGCGAAACTTAAGAGCTGAGAGACCAAAATCTCCCATTCGATTCTCTCTGAGAAAACACCAATAAAGCTAGACACTTTTTTTGTGGGTTTGTGTTATTCGTACATGCACCATGCTGCGTTACGTGAACGAAGCTATATAATCAATAAAATCTTATCGATTTGTTGTGTTTTGGAATCGGAGAGAAAGATGCTAACAAAGTTGGAGACGAAAGTGGTTGAGCCAAGATTTGCTTGTCCGCTCTGCAACAATCGGTTTAAGGATGCCACCACAATCTCCGAGTGTCTTCACACATGTAAGTAACGATGACCCTTCGATTTTTTCCTTGTGATTTTATGGAATTATATCGTTTAGGTTCTGATTTTTGTTTGTGCCTATCTCTCTGTTGTTGTTGTTGTTGTTGTTGTTGTTGTTGTTGTCTTTGTGTTGCTTTGTTGGATATATTAATTGGTGTAGATTAATGATTATACCAGATTGATTCTGAAACTTGAAACCAATGTTTTGTTTAGCTTTTTGGTGTTGTATGTGTTTCAACATGTATCTGTTGCAGATAAGGACTGTTTTTGTAAGTGGATGATTCAGTTTCTGTTTTATGTCTTTGTGATTTCAAAGTTGTTTTTGTCTCCAATTCATTAGTTTCATTTGTTGTATTCATATGTTGTTTCTTTGGCTTGTTATGTTTCTAGTCTTGGCTTTAAGTATTGTCATATCTTGTGTCTATATATGAATTGGGACTTATACAATTTGTGGTATCAGTTTGCAGGAGCTGCATTCGTAACAAGTTCATAAATGAGAGAGTTAAAGCTTGTCCAGTCTGCAACGTTAACCTCGGTGTTTTTCCTCTCCATAAACTTCGGTATTGTATCTTTTTCATATTCTTCAGTCGTTTACATTCTAGCTTGCTTTATTCTTAGCATTTGCATCAAGTATGTGAACCTATAAGTGTAGGTCGGATTACAGTTGGCAAAATTTGAAGCTGAAAGTCTACACAGCAAAGACGGCAAGCGTAAAGGCAGGACCTGAAACTGTTGCAGCCTCTGTGAAATCTTCGAAAAAGAAGGGAAAATCTCTAACGTCACTGGTGGTCTCTTCATCTAGAGTATCATCCTCACCTGATACTCCATTGGAACCACCCATTGCGGTTGTGGAGCCACCCATTGTGGTTGTGGAGGAGAAGCATAGGGAGACCGTTCAAGCTCTTCAAAGCTCTCGTAAACCGATAATCACATTCAAGAAACGTGGAAGAAAATCTTCACTCCCCAAGAAGTTTGATTCCAAACCGGAACCCGAACTGCCTCCTAAGGAGCCTGAAATTAAGAATTTCTTTGACCTGAACAACGAACCTGAAGACAATGGATTGGTCAGTATATAGAATCTGTGTTTAGTTATTGTTCTCTTTTGTTAACTATCTGTTTGCAACTAATGTTTATGCATCATAGGACGAAGCTGAAGGATCGACATCTCAAAAATTCATACCAAAGGAGAAAGACTCCGGGAACGATCTTTGTAAGTCCTTGACTGATGATGGTAAGGAAGTAGCGCCACTAAACATCAACGATACTCCTCCTCTTATCGTTGAGCCAGTGATAAGTTCGGATGGCGATACAGAGGAATCTGTTGAACCTATTCACAACAAGTGTGTTGTGAATAGGGAAGCAGAGGAAGTCCCTTTTCAAGTGAATCAAAACAATGTCCTTATTAGCTCTGATAGGGATAGAGAGGACAACTCTGGTCAGAAACTGAAGAGCAATGGTGCTTCCTCCAGATCAAGGAGGAAGAAAGGGAAGAAACCGGTGGAAAAGAGTTATTCTTTGAGACCCCGAAAAGACGGGAGGGCGACTAATTCAGCAGCTAATACTACTACACCAGAAGTTGCGGTTTCCGTGGAAGAGGAAAAGAAAGTTGAAGGACGTAACACCAATGCAGTTTGGTTTTCGTTAATGCCTTCCAAGACTCAGTACTAAAGCGTTTTTCTATCTTCTTTTTCATATCTTTTAACCTATGATTCTGTTTATATTTGAAGCGTTTTACAACTCGGTTTCTTCGTTTTTCAGGAACATTGAAATGCTACTTCCACCGATCAATGCTCGCTGCATAAGAGTGAAGTAAGTACTAATTAAGTTTCAACTATAATCTCATCAATTCACTTTTTTTTTTTGTTGCTGTGGAATATGTGATCTTGATTCTTTGATTTGTTTTTATATTCACAGAGATAGAAACATGACTGTCTCATATCTCAAGAAGTATCTAATGGTGAAGCTCGGTCTCGAAAGCGAAGACCAAGTAAACAAAACTACTCTCTATCTTTGTCTTTCTCTCTTTCTCTCGTCTTTTAACTCTAATATTTTTGATATCCTTTTGCAGGTGGAGATATGGCTAAGGAATGAGCCATTGTGTTCGTCACTGACGCTACATAGCTTGGTGGATTGGTGGGTCCAAACTACTCCATTGCCTGAGCGACGAAGCGCCATGGTCGGAAGCTCCGCTGCTGATTTCCTCATGAATCTCCATTACAGCTTCAAATCTGACGCATCTGGCTCTGGCTCTGGCTCTGGCTCGGACTCTGAATAATTCTCCTCAGAACTTTAAACTTTTCTTCTTCTCTTTAAACTCATTTCTTGCAGAATAAGTTTCCTTTTAAAGACTTGCTAGTTTTAGCATCTTTCTTTATTTAATAATTGCTGAGACCCAAATATGGAAAACTCTTTATTTATTTGTTTTGCTTGCTTTTGAGGATTCAAAAACGGTATCGTTTTCATACCGTTTAAATAACAGCTCATTTTAGCTAGTTTAAGTTATATGTGATAAGATGCGCTTGTTTTGTGCTCTGTTTGGTTTAGCTAGGGTTAACAAAAGATCTGTATCCAAACACTCTTCTTTTTTGCCCGCCATGGATAAACACAGAGCCAGGAGCTTAGTGACGGCAAGGAAACTACAAAAAGCTGAAATTTTTATTGAAAGTTTCGTTTTTTATGGATTGGATTACAGAAACATTTCTATGTGAATAAACCCATCAATGGCGATGAAACCCAGTCTCCATTTTTACCCAACTACTGTCACGAAGAAGTTTGTCTACTCGTTTCAAAGCTCCTTCTGCTTCCGTTTCTTAAGGTATAGTTCATCAATTTCACTTGGGTCTTGTAAAGGTGTTGCCTTTAGTTCGAGAAATGATCAAATTCCATTGAGGAGGTTTAGCTTTAGTAGGGATGGTAATAATGGTGTGTGGTTAGAGAATTGGAATAGAATTCAGAAACGTAATCAACCTAAACCACCAAAGGTAGTTGTAAATTATCGAAAAGAAGGGAGATTTTCTGGGTCAGAGATTGTGAGTGGTGATGATAATAGTAGTAGAGATGGTGATGGTAGTACAATGGAGAAGATTGTGGAGAAATTGAAGAAGTATGGATATATGGAGGGTGGTGAGGAGGTTCAGTGTAAGGAGATTGAACAAGAGAGAAGGATTGAGAAAGGGTCGGTGGAGGATATATTCTATGTTGAAGAAGGGAATTTACCGAATACTAGAGGTGGATTCACTGAGGAATCGGTATTAGGTAGAGATGATGTCTTTGGAAGTAATGGAGAAGTTGGTTTTCCTTGGGAGAAGATGAGTGCCAAGGAAAAGAAGGAGTTGGAAGCAGAGTGGACTGCAAAGAAGGAGAATAGATATTCGCTTGCGGAAATGACTCTTCCGGAATCAGAGCTAAGGAGATTGAGGAATTTGACGTTTCGAACAGCGAGTAAGATGAGGATTCGGGGTGCAGGTGTGACTCAGGTGGTAGTGGATGCTATTAAGGAGAAGTGGAAAAGCGCAGAGATTGTGAGATTGAAGATTGAAGGAGCAAGCGCGCTTAACATGAGAAAGATGCATGAGATATTAGAGGTTTGCTTTTTATGACCCCCCCAATAACTGTATTTGGTTGCATAAGGCTTGTCTTTCGTCTGCAAAGATCATAAAACACACCATTTATGTCCTATGTTCAATATGAAAGCATAAGCACAAACTTTTGTCACATTTTGTCCAATATCTTTTCCTTTATCTTGTTAAAATGTACTTTTCTTTTCCTCTCTATGGCAGAAAAAAACTGGTGGTTTAGTGATTTGGAGGTCCGGGACTTCCATCTCTTTGTACAGAGGTGTCAGTTATGAGCTTCCATCAGGAAAATGGAACAAGCAAAGAAGAGAGGAGACGCCGCCTTCTTCCTTACCTGAAACGACAACTATGGTGGATAATAGTGATGAAAAAGTTCATCTTCCTCAGTTAGAGCAGGTGACAACTAGTGTGGAAAAGAAAGACCAGACATCTCAACCAGAATATGAAGATGAAATTGATGAACTGTTAGATGGTCTTGGTCCTAGGTTCATGGACTGGCCGGGAGATAACCCATTACCTGTAGATGCTGATTTGCTTCCAGGCGCCATTCCTGGTTATGAACCGCCTTTCAGGGTACTTCCTTATGGAGTAAGATCATCTCTGGGACCAAAGGAGGCAACAGCTTTGAGAAGACTTGCCAGATCTATTCCTCCACACTTTGCTTTAGGTATGAGATTTCTAAAAAAAAATTTCAACTCGTTGGGAGTCTGAAAGAGTATTTGAAGAGTAGAGGTTTCTTTTGATTTCCAGGTCGAAGTAGGCAGCTCCAAGGCTTGGCGACAGCAATGGTCAGGTTATGGGAAAAGAGTATGCTTGCAAAGATTGCTATTAAACGTGGCGTGCAATCAACTACCAGTGAGAGAATGGCTGAAGATCTCAAGGTAATAAGGACTCTTGGCTGGTTAATGTTGAAATACCTCTTGTGTATCCTTCTAATCGTTATAGGCAAGTTTATGTTGACTTGCTGATTGTAGAGAAAATTCTATTATCCCCACTTTCTGGGAAAATGAGAAAGAGAGCTGAAATATTTTTGAACTGATCCAGTCATATAAAGATTATAGAATGTCTATCTATTTTCTCAACTTTTGGTCTTTAAGCATCTCTTGTTGTGTCCTGTGTATACATTTATGCTTCTTTTGTCATCTATCTGGATTTTGTAGCTGTATATTTGATATCATGTTTTTGGTAAGTAACTGCAGAAACTGACAGGAGGTATACTGCTCTCTAGGAATAAAGACTTCTTGGTTTTCTACAGAGGAAAGAATTTTTTGTCACGAGAAGTAGCTGATGCATTGGTGGAGCAGGAGAGGTTTGTTAGGACTTTGCAAGACGAAGAAGAACAGGCACGTTTGAGAGGTTCATCGGCTCTGATTGTCCCATGTATTGAACCTCCGAAAAAACTTGTTTCTGCTGGTACTCTTGGTGAAACTCTTGATGCGACTGGTAAGTGGGGAAAGAATCTGGACGATGATGATCATTCCGACGAAGTGAAACAAGAGGTTGAGATATTGAGGCATGAAAATCTTGTCAGGAAGCTCGAAAGGAAACTTGCTTTTGTGAGTTCTGGACTTGCCTCTTGTTTCTTTTCTCCTACCTGTGAGTTAGATTCACATATCATGTGTTAATGAGTTGTTCTTTAAATTAATGGGATTGGTTCTTCTGCTATAGGCTGAGAGAAAGCTGTTGAAAGCTGAACGTGGTTTGGCTAAGGTGGAAGAGTGTCTTAAGCCTGCAGAGCAGAGAGAAGACTCAGACAGCATAACTGATGAAGAGAGATTTATGTTTCGCAAGCTTGGCTTGAAAATGAAAGCTTTCTTACTTCTAGGTAAAATATCAATAACAGATGAGTGTATTCGAGTGTGTCCTATATATGCTTAGACTCGTAAAAGAAACGTGAAAATGTTGCTTCAGGTAGGCGAGGAGTGTTTGATGGTACGGTGGAGAACATGCACTTGCACTGGAAATACAGAGAGTTGGTCAAAATTATTGTGAAGGCTAAAACTTTTGACGGTGTAAAGAAAGTGGCATTAGCCCTTGAAGCCGAGAGTGGTGGTATCCTGGTTTCTATTGACAAGGTTACCAAAGGATATGCCATTATCGTGTACAGAGGAAAAGACTATAAGCGTCCTACCATGTTGAGGCCGAAAAATCTTTTGACAAAGAGGAAGGCTTTAGCACGTTCCATTGAGCTCCAAAGACGCGAGGTTCATTGATATAAAATCATCATTTACTTTCTTATTTAGAACTCTTTAGCTGATCCGTATTCCGTTTGCATTAAACAGGGTCTTCTGAAGCACATTTCTACGATGCAGGCGAAAGCAGAACAGCTGAGAGCTGAAATTGTAATGGATCTAACTCATTGTACATTGGCTTTTGTCTAATTATACTGTATCATGCATTCACTGAGTCACCAAAGAATGTAGTTTGTTCAGCAATGGTAGACTAACTCGAGAACCTGCAACCATTCTATCAGGAACAAATGGAGAAGGTAACAGACAAGGGTGATGAAGAGTTATACAACAAGCTTGATATGGCTTATGCTTCTAGCGATGAGGAGACAGTGGTAACAGAATCACTCTGTTTTTTTTAATGGTTTTCAGTTATCACAGAATCTGTGTTTAAGGTCTCACACGGCTTGCTGCTATTCTGTAGGAAGAAGAAGATGATGCATTTCCAGAGACATATGCAGTAGGAGAAGATGGTGAGATTCTAGCAGAAGGGGAACTATCTGAAACAGATGATGAAGATTGGGATTCAAATGAATCGGAAACCGGATTTGGTGATGATTCGGTACTTTACGCAGAGGATCTTCATACAAAACCAGAAGATTTACCGAGTGAGAAAGTTCATCTGCAGCATCAGAGCTAATTGAAGATAAAACGTAAAAGACCGCTGCAACTTTAGCTTTTAAGCTTTTAGTAGCTATGGTATTAAGGTTAGTAAAAATTGTAAAATAGATCTTCTAAATAATTTCTCCAGATGAAATACACCTCCATGGAAAGAAAATTGAAAGCTAGATTGTATCTTTACTAAAACCGTCCAATAAGCTCCAGAGTCTTAAACCGTATTACAACCAAATTTCAGCCCTTACTTCAAAACTACTCTGCATGGTTTGCGAACACAATCCATATCAATAATATAGTGTTTCTGTGTTGGTCTAAGAATTCTCCAGTGAAACAGATAAGATTATGAATCTCTCAGGCAACAGATCTCACCTACGAGCAAGTCTCTGCCCAGCTCCAACCATTAACGCCTTGCCTATAGCACTAGAATGAAGCCCACAAGCCAAAGCCACTCCTCCTACAACAATCCATTTCCAATCTACACTGAACTGATCCTTCTGTTTCCTTGCAGTCTCCACTGCACGTCCTCTCTCTTCTTCCTCTGCTCCAGATGTTTCCACCAAATCCATGTTCAGTTTTGTGGTGATACTTGCAATCTGTGCACTCCGTGAAAGAGACGTCCCAGGTTTTCTAGCGCTTTGGTATGCCCTCAAACCAGAGTTTAGCTTCTTTACAGCTCCCCACATGCCATGACGGACTCCTAACTTTGCTACATCTTTTGGGATTCCCATGTCTTCATAGTGGACAAGGGAGACTTCACAAGCTGATAACTGCCCATCCCCCTTTCTGGATTCAACTGCATTTTCGGTATTCCGCTTAGAATCAAACATGACACAATCTGGTAAGGGAAATTAGCAAGCTGTCAAGCAATTTAAGTGGACATACCTGCTTTAATAATCCAACTTGAGAAATAAACCTCTACTCGCCTCGGCTTATCACGCTTTGGTAGAGCTTGATAAGGTACTCCCTAGAAACATTGAATACCAAAAACAGTATATCAAACCAGCATTCCGCTATTCCAAACTACTAGAGAGATATTTTGCTCCATGCTAAAGCAAAAAGCAAGATCATACCTTTGTCACAGCATAATACTTTTTTCCAGACTCCCATATTCTCCTGCCAATAATGTATTCCCGGTCACTACAGAAAAATGGGAACTGCAGACAAAAGAAATTAGTACATGCATATATAACATGTTCATGAAGGAAACCACAAAATACCTTTTTAATCCAGTGAACAATGGTAGTTCCTGTCTTAGGATCTTCCTCCAAAGTTTTAAAGTAAGCAAGCATAGGATCCCATTTAGGTCGAAACTCATCGTCCCAGAAGAAATCCCTAACAATGTCTGGTGTTGCATCCTCAAAAACAGTTCGACTACGATAAACAACAGGACCAGTCTGACAAACAACATAGCCGCCTTTCAGTAACTAAATCATAACATGTGATATAATCCTAAAGATTAAAGAAGCAAGAGTCTTTAAAAAGTTAGCTTACATCAGGCTCATGTCGCCAAGCTTGATAACTCATATTAGGAGTAGACTTATCCATCATAGATTGCCACTCCAAATTAGCATTTCCAGCTTCAAGCAGATACAACAAATGCTCTAAATCTTTCTCTGTCACAACAACATCTTGCTCTTTCTCTGTAATTTTATCACTAGCTCTGCAAAATCCATGAGTAAAGCAATAAAATCAATCACAAGATAATATCACTAACTCAACAAGAACAGACCCAAACATAGTCCATCGGCAATACGGTTAGCTTCACTATACACATGCGAAATACGGACTATCCAGTCTTTATATTCATTTTTTTATTGACTAACCGTGAAAATGATTCTTCTTCTTCTTCTCCAACCGGTTTAGAAGACGGAGCTGAACCACTAACCGACAATTTCTTGGAACTCGAACCGAGTCTTGACCAAAGAGTACGACAAACGGAAAAAACAGAGAGAGCGGTGAAAGCAAGCCAAATACGACGAGCACCAAATCCAGGAGGAGCAGTCAATAGAAACCGAAGCTTTGAACGGAACCCTAAATAAACCAAGCCAGTCCATCTAGGACGCCAAGACCAACCAATCAAAAGCCCGATCATAACAGCGACCCAAATCGGAACTGCACATAGCAAAATGTCGACGAATGTTTCTGCAACAGAAGGTTTATTGAAGAAATCCGTAAAAATATCCATAACTATTGAACGAATCTATGGCCTTAAGATGATTTCAGATTGCTCTGTTTTCGCCGGAGACATTGAACGGAAGCGATCCCAAAAGAGAATCAAAAGGAGGAAGAAGATAAGAGTAATTTACGCTTATTTATTAATTTTTAAATTTAATTTGGAAAAAAAAAGAAAGAAATAATAAAATGATTATTAATTTGGTGTTTGCTGCTGTACCGAAAAGACGTTGGCGGGTGGTGATAGGAACAGTAGTGATGACGTGGCGTTAATCGTTAAACCAAATCTCACGCTTCATTTTTTTAGGCGCGTGTTGTTTTATTGTGGATAAGATAAGATTACAGGTGGTATTTTATTTTTTTATCCATAAATCTCTACTTTTGCTTTTTCAGTATTTAAGTAATTAAATTGTTGTTCGAAGTCTTTTACTTTTTGTCACAGAAAATTGAGATTTTTTTTTAATTTTTAAATAATGAGATATGAGAATGTTCAAAAAAATTATGTTTATTTTGAATATTTCTACGAGCAGTGTTGAATTTTTCAAGATAAATACATTAGCATCTTTGTTATGCGGTAACCGTCTATGATATACTCTCTCTGTTCCTAAAAGATTGATTTTCTAGAGATTTTACATATTTTAAGAAACAATCATTGTTTAATTATTTACTTTTATTAAATATTTTTTAATAAACTATAAACCAATAGTAATCTGAAACAGTTAATCATTACGCCTTGAAATCTACGATTTATTAATATTAATTAACTAAAAATAAAGAAAAAATCTAGAAAATCAAACTTTGTGGAACAAATCCAAAACACTAGAACATCAAACTTCTAGGAACAGAGGGAGTATTAAATTTTTGGATTGACGTGTTGCATTCAAATTTATTTTCTTAATAATGTGGTGCATCTGTAATCTTTTTTTGATATTTCATCGGTTTATCAACTAAAAATTTATCTCCAACAAATTTAAATAAGTCGCAAAGAAAAACAAATTTGTAGGAAAGAGTTACAAATCTATGAATAAATTTGAAAAGTGTAGCCAGGGGGACCAAATATTATACATGAAAATTGAAAATAAATCAAAATGAGAATAAATAGATGACAACATTAAAATGTAATCTAGTAATCAAGACAAAATTAGAATATAAGAAAATAAAAAATACATGGGTGAAGAAAGAAGGTAATGACATCAAACTACGTTGCTTCCAAAGGATTTGTGAGAACTGAAATATGTCTCGCTTTCTTTCCTGTCAGAATAAAAGTTAAGGCTCATTGTATTTGAGAGATCCCCTGGCTTCGCTATAGGAAGTTTCGTTAGCTACATTGCAGATTGGTATTGTCCTTTGTGTTTGACTTTGCTCGTTTTGGAGTTTGGGAGTGGTTTAAGACTTTAAGTCAAGTCGTCTACCGAAGAGATCTCGGTTATGTCACTGCTTTTTGTTTCGTTTTTGTGTATTGAACCTTGTTCTGTTTTTGTTTAGTTCTCCCCTTTCTTTGAAGCTTGTTCTTCCTTTTTTAGGTTTTGTTTTCACGAATATTTATTTATCCGTCGACTTATATAATTTTAACATGTATTCCTCCATGCTTTTGTTAGTTAAATCAGATGACAAAAAAACTAAGGTAGGACATCAAACTCTAACAAACCAACCAAATTATCTAACAAAATGTTTCATCTTAACCAATATAAATAGATTATAAATTAATAATCATCGTGTAATAGTCAATCATTTTGTTTTTATAAACTCTTTTATGTAAACAGTTAGAGAAGTTTTAACTTGGGAAGAAATCCATAATCCATAACTACTATTCTATTCACAGCTATTAATAGTTGTTACATATCACATATGGACATTTACATAGACTATAGTGTAGACATTTCACCCACACAAAAAAAAAAGTAAGTAAAACAAAGTTTCAAAGAAATTATATTAGTCTGTTCGTTTGGTCGCCGCAGGTAGTTGCGGCAGCGGCAGACGCAGATGAGGTTGTTCGTTTGGTCGCCGCAGATACCTGCGGCATAACGCTGCGACAAAAAATTTTGGACGCTAATTAAAGTCAGCGTCAAACGATTAAAAACTGCGGCAGCCAACAACCTGCGGTAATGTTTGCCGCCACTGCTGCCGTTGTCGCTTGCGGCGACCAAACGAACAGACTATTTTAAGCAAAAACAAAAGAGAAAGTGAGGTTCACGTGCAGCTGTGTAGGAGAAAAGTTGATGTGAACTCGAGAAACACGTGGACTTTTGGACAGTGACTTTGATCTGTGACTGCAGTACAAGATGTTTTGTCTGGTGTTGAAAATTGGATAGATTCTTCGAGATCTTTCAGAACCTCAAACCACTAACCTTGCGCCACATATTATTCTACGGGCCATTTAGGCCCATTAATATTAGGCCCACTCCATTACAAAATCTCGATTGTCCGAGATACTGACCATTGGCCCCATAAGAATTCGTCAATTTTAGTCGACCCTGTTAAAAGACAAAACTCGACTGTGACTTTTCGTTATTTAGACAAACCGACAACGACTATTTTTTTTTTTTCTTGTCAACTAAATCTTTTCTTTTTCGCATTTTTAAAGTTTGATATAGTTTACGAAAGTTAGAGCAAGTTGTAACATATTGATAATATAATCAATCAACTAATAAAATGATTAAGGAATAACCAGTTCATTTGATCCACCAACTTCTTACCAATAATGACAGCTTTGATCAAACAACCTCCTTTTTGAAAATAAAATATTATGATTAGAGCCGTGACAAAATCTATGTATAAATAAGGCAATGGTCTTGGACCCCATCCATTATGCACAAAATCAGGGTCCCAACATTTATTCTAATTAGTGTCTTTAGTGACATGAATAAAGGTTTTGACATTGTATATTGATTATTTTGAAAAATTATTAGTTGTTTTTTTTTTTTTTTCATTTGGTTTCATTTTTTAATAATCTATCGTTTGGTATTTTTATATAATGAAAAAGAGTCGGAAATATTTTTAACCGCCTATGGTCCTCAAAAGTTTAAGCAAGGCTCTCGAGTTTAAAAATTACTAGATTTTGTACCCGCGCGTCGCGCGGGATTTTAATTAAAATTTTCTTTTATATATAAAAAATTTGAGCATAAAATATAATCATTTTAATTTAAAAGATAAATATTTGAACATAAATATAATATTTCAAATTTTAACATCATTTCATATAAAATGTGAATATACCCAGTTTAATGAACATTATTTAGTGTAAAAGTATATTTATAATATCATGTTGCTAGAACCGTTTTAGCAAAGCTTTTTTTACCCATTGAAGCAAGTGCATGGTGCCATAAGATAATTCTCGACTAAGTTATCAATGTGCCTATTTTATCTAACTCTTCATGATTACACAACCAAACGGTTAAGCCCAACTTTGAATCTAATAATCTGTTTAATAATGTGTGTCATGTATTTTTTAAAAACTCATTCGTTTCACACAATGCATGGGATCTCAAAGAATTTGACATTATTCATGTGCATTATATTTCTAAGTTTTAGAAATTTATTTTCAAACACTTTTAGTTACCAATTCTTTCATCATTTTCTATAATGCACTCGTTGACTCGATCGACATCCACTTTCTTTTCACCTTCTGTTGACTCACACATTTTATATATTGGACTATGAATTGATTTTCAAGACATATCATTAACTATTTTCTCCTTAATTAGTATCTTTCAATACTCAAATTTTTGGATTAAAAGCATTTGATTCAATTGATGAAATATCAATCTTGTTTCTTTTTGATCATGTTATAAAGTTGTAGTTACACTTGAGAATATGGTATATAAATTACATATCACTTTTTTTTTAATGGCTTACATTTCATTAAAACTCATGAATAATGTGATCATTGATTATTTATTTTGTTAAAGATAGATCATAATGTTTCAAAGTTTTCAAGATTTTTTTTTATAATTTCACAAAATAAAGTGTGACTCTTACACTACCTCCTTCTTAAATTATAAATTTAAGTTGAGTTTAGTAATCTTTTATTTTTCTTTAAGTAAAAATTTAATACTAAATAAAAATATGTAGTATATTTTTCTTAAAAACTAATGTTTCACTTTAAATTTTATTTTCTTGTTCAAAATTTTACATATAGAATTACATAAATTAATTTTTATTCTACCATGTATTTAAAATTTACTTCCATTCTAAAACTCATTAACACATTTAAAGATTTGAAGTATGATCATTTGTAATTTTTATCTATTAAAAGTGGAAGTATATTATTACTACTAATAATATTTTTATAGTTATTTTCTTATTTTAAAATCTCATTTATTTTACATAATTCGTTTTTTATTTATGTAAATTTTTTATTAATTATAAGTATCATAAATATGCACTAAATGAATGTTTAAAGTGTATTTTAATGTAAAATAAATAATGTTGCTTAGGTGGATGCTTAAGTAGATGCTTAGGTGGATAGGCTAGATGGAGAGAAGACTCTCCCATTATATATATAGATTATGAACAAAGATTCGTTATAACTTATAAACAAGCAAAGCACAAAAAATTATTATGAACAAAGATTCGTTATAACTTATAAACAAGCAAAGCACAACAGTAAGATTCTTGTTTCTATGTGTACACATTCATAAACACGACATAAACAACATTAAATTACACACATTTACACTTCAAATCATAAGTTAAAAACACAAACATCCCACACATTCTTACAACGGAAACATAACTCTCAGTTTGTTGTGACCAAAAAGAGTCTTTAGCAGGCAAAAGCGGTCACCGGTGCCAAATTTTGGTTCACTTTTATATGGTTTATCTGGTCAGCATTTTGTGTGGTTTCATCATCATGGTCTTCTTTAGAGATCACTAGAGTCTTTCGAGTTTCATGCCGCCTTGAAGCTCCTTTTGCTCTGTTTCCTTCTTTTGTGTTCCTCCGCCCTAGTTTTGGCGACTTTGCTCGAGTTGGAGGAGCCTGTGTATGTACACCATTATAGATAAGCATAATGCAACATTAACAACTCGAAGCGGGTTTTAAAAGTTTACGGGTAATTTTTCTTTTTGTGAATGTTGTAGACAACCTTGTGTGTTACCTTCTTAAGTTCAACCTTTGGGGGAGGCCCTTCATGATAAAATTTTGGCATTGGGTTTGCTTTGAACCTCAAACTTTTTCGTAATTTCCTTAAGGCTGCTTCGGTTTCTTCCTTTAGATTTTGAGTTCCACGCATACAAAGAGAGGGGAAAGAATATGTCAGAAACATTCAAAATATGTGATATGCTAATATGCATTTTTATAAAACTCTAATCTAAAGGAAAAAAGGATAGCACCTTGTTCCTTGCTTCACTCTGCGTTTTCTCGGCCTCCATGGCTTGGTGTTTCTCCTCTAGTTTTGTATAGAACTTAAGAACACAAAAAAAAACAATTAAAACCAATCAAAAACTTCTTAGAGGAAGTGGTAGACAAGTAACTACATAAAAAAGGAAAAAAAAATGTTACCTCCTTCCTCTTCTCGGCACGCTCAGTGGAGCGAAAAGAAGGAGCCGCGGTGACAATAGTTCTTGATTTAGCAGACTTTGCACCGGATGTGGCACTGTCAACAATAGTCAAGATTTGATAAATGGGTAGAAAATTGTAAGTTACAAAGAAATAAATATTGCTTAGAAGTGAACATACTAAGAAGCAACAGAGCAAGAATCTTCCTCATCAGAAAGCTTCTTGTTTTTTGGCTGCAAAGGTTTCCTAGGTATCTGTAGTCGCAAGCCGTTATGGTTAGACAAAACATTTATGATTCAAGAGAGTATAGATTTGGTATAACAACATAAATCCTGACCTTTGTGGCATGATGTTGTACTTTACTATGTCCATCCGGAAACTTTTTCAACCCAGCTGATTCGAGAGATTCACTAGTAAACGAACGTGTAGATGAAGCACGCTTCTCTGTCGCTAAAGAAAACGGTTGTGGAACGGTACTGTTCCTTGTTTTGTTACTCCCCCGACCTGATTTTGAAGCATGCTTTGCAGGTAAACTTGACTTAGTGACATCCTTGGACTCAAAATCATCTCCTATCGGCTTACCAACGGGGATCTCACTAGTACACTCCTTAACATCATATTCGTTTACTTCGATGTTCTCTTCTCCATATCGAAGCTCTGTATGTACATTAGCATCATCGCGTGATACTGAATCTAAGAGAGGCTCAGAAACATTTTCTTGATTTGGATTACACAAATCACCGTTCGCATAGACCACCACACCATCTGGCTCCTTGTCCATGCAGATATCTGTCACAACAAAAATCATCAAGTAAAAAAGAAAGTCTGATCATATTACACAGAATCTATTTGAAACAAAGACAATCTTAATTACTTTGCATGCGAGTTTACGACACAATTCAATATAATGATATATTTGGTATACTCAACAAAAGAAACTACATACTATACCTCCTTATAATCACAGACAAGAAAACTCAACCTTATTAGTATAATATCAAAAGTATACTTAGTTACAAAATGATGACCAAGAATTCAACTAACCATCTAAATTATTATCTTAAAAGCATTAGGCTAACCAAATGTAGGGACATCAAAGACAAAAACAGCTTGTTTAAAGAAAAAGTAATATAGTATTCTAAGCATAATCAAACGTTACAAATATAATAATAATCAACTATCAATTTCTCTAGAAAGATAAATAAAACTGTACACACGACCAAATCTTTTTGCATTAGACAAAACCAAAAGTAAAATCTTTTTTTTTTGCATAGTCAAGAATCAACGAAGAAAAGACACTTTGTTTAACGCATAAATCATCATGGCTTTGGACCAACATAAACCTTTAAGACCTTCTTTGTTAATATTTTCCTTAATATACACTATTAAACTTTGATTAAGCAAAACAAAGAACATGATAAACAAATTTAACAATAAGAAATTTAAATTTTAGTTGTTCAACCACAGATGCTTCTTGCATTTAAACAAAAATGAACATGCAGCTCAATATATCTCACCTACTATGAACTACGAACTATGATCATCAATCGCAATCAACAAAACGTTGAAATCTCAAACAAGTTTTCGAAGAAGCAAAAAGGTGATCAAACATAGAGGATATCGAAGTAGAAGATTAGAATTTGCTTACCCATTTTTCTTGTGACAGACGAGAGAATTTGTAACCGCTCCTTTTTTTTTTTGGTCTCTCTCTCTTCTGTGTGTTGTGTTGTGTTGTAATGAGAATGATGATACTATTGTCATTTATGTTGGTGTGTGTGTTTTATACCATCTCCTTCCTCGTCGGTGCTAACGCCGTTACTTGACACCGTCTCTTATTAGTGCTCCACTAATTAACATTTGTTAATTTTGTTTACTGGATAATAATTTTTATAGACTTACTACTATTTTTTTTTAATATCAATTATATGTTGGGTTGGTTAATAAAACAAGAAATAGCATACTTGTTGTTGTCTTCCAATGATTGTTCAACTATTTTGATTAGCAAACTCCTTTTTTTTGTTCCAAAAACATTTCAGTTATTTTTTACTTTTTTCGATTACTTACTATTTATTTTCTTTTACAATCGAGAGATTACGAACGAAAGATTACACCAATTTCTGAAATATATGAAATTTGGATATTTATATATTAAGTCTTTTTATTATTTAAAACAAGGTCAATAATCAATGACATTGTAAAAAAGAAAAAGAAAAAAAAACGTATCTTGATCTCCCTCCCAACCTTTGGCGTAAATATCCGATCCCTATCACTAATTCATCATAATTTGGTTTTCTATTTATTAAATCAAACCCTAAATATATAATACATAATATATATTTCTTATTTTGAAAATAAAATGCATAATATTGAACAAATCTTTTTTTTTTCATTAATACATGCATACATATATATATACTCTAATTTAACCTTATCCTTTGCTCTTAAACAAATCTTTTAAGATGAAAGTAGCGTCACTAGACTACATAAATCATTTGAATTTTGAGAGGTAAAATGTGTACTTTGTAAAAATTGATTTATAATCTCTGAAGTCTTCACCAACATCAGGATTACAAACTCACAAAACTACAACAATTTGGTTTCTAATCGTAATATTAAAATAGCTTTCAGGCTAGTGTGGGGCAAGTTTTTCCCGGCAATTATGCAAAACTTCTTTATATATATGTTTGTGTGTGAATTGTGAACTATATTGAATATAATCAGACAATCATTATGATAGCACAAAGGGACAAGATATCAAAACTATTATTTCCTAACTCCAATTTAAATTTGGCTACAACTATAGTATTTTTGTCCAAGTAGTCAAAATACATCTGTTATATTTTGTTTATATACACTCCATACAAAATATATATATTAAAACTTACAATCTAACTGTCTACAATCATTACAAAAAACACACAGAATCACAACATAGTTCAACAATCATCATTTAATCAACCAATAAACTAAAAACATTTCAACATAAATGATTTTATTGGTTTAAAAACGTGATTTCGTGGACTTAGCAAGGAATCAATCAATTAATTAAACAAATATTAAAAATTAAAAAATAAAGTGATAATAGAAAAGACATAACATCCTTATTGGCATAGCATCCAATCTTATTTATTGCTCATTGATTTTGATTATCCCACACCTAAACTCTTATTGAAAAATACTTTGCACCACCCTTGTTTAATATTTAATTTTTAAGATAAGCATCTCTCATTATGTTAAATATTCCTGATATGCCCTTGTTATAAGTAAGGGTCAACATCGAATTAGTGATAGGTTCAAGGCTAAAATAGGGAATTTTGGAGAAGAAGACGTGGGATGATTGAGCTGTGTGTGATAGAGGAGGCTATGCGGTGAGTGGAGTAAAAGAAAGACTATCCAACAAATAAGTGGGTCGGTCCCATTTGTCTATAGCCAAACCATAATAATAATTCTCCAAAGATGGTTACAGAAAAACAATAATAATTTCACAAATATATGATATTATTTTATATTTTGGGAGATGTATATAGACGTTGTAGTTAGCTTAAGTGAATTAACAAATAGGGTTTGACGTTTTTTAAATATTTGTTTTTGTAGAGTTGATAATTCTTTCATCCGTGTGTTAAAAATGATCACAACAACGAATCTTTTAACAAATTTCCGAGCACAAATGAAACATGATTTTCTTGCAAAATATTCTACAAACCAAAAACATCTACAAGTATTTAGTGACAATAACAAAGACATTTGTCAATTAAGATTTTGTGACATCACTAATAATAATACGTAATAGAACCCTAAATAACATGCCTATAATAACGCAATGTTTACATAAATTTGATAAATATATTTAAAAAAGCTTCAACGTTCTATGTTTTTTGGTTAAAAAACTCTAGGATCAATTTGTAGTCTATGCAATATAGACATCGAGTTTTAATTTGGGAAAATTAGATTGGGTACCACTTTTCGGAGAAAGTTTAGGCCCAGTACCACATTTAGGAAAAGCTTTTGAAATGTACCACATTTCAATGCCACATGCCTAAAACCGGACGAAATTGCCCTTGATGGAGAGAGAAGTGTGTGTCAGAGAAAGGGACACCTTCCGAAATTTCTGCTGTCCTTTTTCTCTCTCCTGCGCATTGGTAACCGTTTTCGTCCCTCTGGCTGGTAAAACAAAGTTGTCCCCGAGTAAATCCAGATCTTCGTCTTCGGCTCTCTGGCAAAATAAAATAAAGATCAAGTTGTCCCCGAGTTAATCCAGATATCTGGCTGGTAAAACCACATCATCTGGCGATGGATAATTAAGAGATGTTGTCCCCGAGTAAATCCAGATCTCTGCAGGCTGGTAAAACCATATCATCTGAGATTCATGATAATAGAGCAAGCTGATGAAATCGGGGACAAGATCTAGACGCAACAGAGAATTTTCAATCGGGGACAAGATCTGGAGACAAAACGAAAGCGTTTATTATGAGACAAGATCTGAAGAAGAAAGAGAAAGGGAAAGTGAGAGAGAAACGAAAGCGTTTTGTTTTCTCTGAGGGGGATAATGATGTGGGGTTAAAGTACACGGATCTCGAGGGATGAGAAAAAGTGGATGTTGTAGATATTTGTAGAGCTTGAGGGCAAAATGGTAACTTTGCATGTAAATGTGGTATGATTTGAAAAAAGGATAGGAATGTGGTAGATTTTGAAAGAAATTGGGAAAAAGTGGTACATTTGGCAAAAATCCCTTTTAATTTTATTTTTTTTGTAAGTACGAAAAACTTTCGGAAATTTTTTGTATCACACTAGAAAAAGAAACCATTCTCGGATGATAAACTGCGAATATTGAAACTATTTTTATCCAATTTTTTAGTAAACTATGTTGTTTATAGAAAAATAAAAAGTGCTTCACCTACTTAAATAACAAAAGAGATTACTAAAAACGAAAGTGCTATCTCACTAATTTTTCTTATTTTAGTCTCTTGCTTTTTTTTAATAGCATAAAACATTACACTTTAAACTTTAAAGAGGATATAGTTTTTTTCTGATGATAAAAGAGAGGATATATGAGGATGTTAGGAAAGGGACATATTTATCAAATACAAAAATTTGCAAAACTAATTCTAATATTCTTCAATTTGATGATGTTTTTGTTTACCTTGGTTAAAAGTAAACGATACAAATACTGATTGAAAACAGTAATTAATTAATTAATCATTACTTATTGTCGTTATGTAATGGTAGTTTATTAAAAACTTAAATTAAAAAGTGTAAAAGTTTTAACACCGAAGCTGACTCAGCATCCACGTAAGCAAAACAAAACAAATTTCACATTATGATCGGAGTTGACTCAAAATCGTCGTCGGCGACTTTGATCGAAGCAATGGTTGAATCGGAGAAAACGAAACACACATGTCTCCGTCTCGAAATCTCCGGCGCCGATCCAATTTTCGTCAAAGGAACTTGGCATCACTCTCGTTTTGATATCTCCGTCACCGATGGCTCCTCCTCTTGGATTTGCAATGGTAAACAAAACCCCTAAATTCAAACTATCACTAAGCCTCTAGGGTTTTTCGAATCTGAAATTATTTTGGTTTTTATTGAAATTGAAGCGACGGAGGAGGAAGTGGCGGAGAGAGCAGCACAATGGGATCAGCCAGTATCGGAGTATTTAGAGCTCGCTGAACGTTACTTAGGGTTTCAACAGTCTAATTCTGTCTATGGTTTCTCTGATGCTCTTGAGGGATCTAAACGGGTTAGTTCATGAAAATGTTCTCTGAAGTTAGATTGGATCTTAATGTTTGAGTAAGCTTGAGATTTTTGGATGTTGTTGTTGTTGTCTCTTTGATTGTGTTTTGGTTAAAGCTCTCTTGGACGTTTGAGAAGGAAGGGACTAAACTTGAGTGGAGATGGAAGTGTAAGCCATCACATGATAGTAAGAAGATCACTGTTGGGATCTTGGATTTTCTTATGGAGGCTAATATAAGGCTAAGTGTATGAATCTTACACTATATGTTCTGATATTTGGGGATTTGTTGTGATGTTTGGAATGAAAAAGGATAAGGTTTTTATCAGATTCTGGTTTGGTAATGAATATGATGAATTAGAGCTTAAGTTATTTGATCTTTGCTCTCTTAGGATTCGTGTTTGGAAGATATGTCAATCTCTCAATAGTTAAGTGTTTACATAGGAAGAAGTTGTGAACAAGACGAGATCTTTTGAGAAGATGAAATGTGAAGCTGAGAGATGTCTCGCGCAAGGTGAAAAACTCTGCGATGAAAAAACAGAGTTTGAGAATGCAACTTATGCGAAGGTATGTATTATTCGATCTTGGTTACTCTGCTTAATTTCCACATTCTGATTTCTTCTCGCTTAAACTAGAGTCATTGGTTTTTATGATCTCTTAATTTCTAGGACAGACTTTTCTTTGTGAAAGGATGTTGTCATGTTTATTATTGATCTTAGTCCTTTTTTTTGTCGATGCAGTTCCTTTCTGTTTTAAATGCAAAGAAGGCAAAACTGAGAGCACTAAGGGACAAAGAAGATTCAGGGAGAGCAGTTGAAGAGGAAGAGTCGACAGACAAAGCTGAAAGCTTTGACAGTGGAAGAAGTGATAATGAGCAGAGCGAGGAAGAAGCCTCAAAGAAGGCATCAAGCAGCAAAGCCCGTGGCCGAAAGAGAGCTGTACGCAGCTAAACGTTCCATTCAATGTTTTGTGAATCTCATAGCTAGAAAAAGAGAGACATCTTTTTTTGTTGAAAAATCGCTAGAATC